CATACTGGCATTGGGACTAGCGATATCTAATCACAGCATTTTCAGCTTTATCACACCATCTAGATCTTCTACCAATCAAAGTCATTATCATCCCAATTCGATCACCAGCTCGATATGCCAGACAGCTCATAGCTCAACGACTGTTAATCAAGGTGTTGATTTTAGGGCTTTGGATGATTACTCGAGACATCAGTCTCAGACTTCCGTAGGTAGCCTATTGAAGGCTAATCCTTTATTTCAGGATGTGGTGGAGCCATTGATGGTAAAATTACTTGCAAAGGCACTTGATGACATTAATAGCATAACAGCAGTAGGTAGTGATCTTGGAGTGGTAATCGAAAAGCTTAGCATACTCACAAAGTTGTTCGACCAGATTAATATAAGAGACCATAAGTACAAAAATGAAATGTTGACTTTTTTAAACTCCGAATACGGGTTGAAGGACATGAAGATAGAGGATTTGTGTGAGTTCTATGTGTTTAAAATAACATATGGTGCAAACTCCTACATTTTGAAGCAGATCGGGCATTCAGTTGTATTAGACGATAATAATACTAATTTGAGGGACTTACTTGCTGAATATGTTAATTCACCCAACGTTATTGAGATTCTGCACGTATTCGAAAGACACGTTCAGCTTAAAGCTGGAGAAGACGAGGATAAGTATACTTGGTATTTGACAGAATATCTCGACGTTGGTCTTGATAGCGACTACGTAAAGCTGGGAGGCATAGACATGATAAGAAAGGTTAGCAGGGATGCACTTAACGGATTAAAAGCATTTCACGACAAATATATAACACATGGAGACATCGGAATGAATCACGTCAGGGGAATATGGGAAACAAAGGAAGATGGTAGCCGTGAACTCATCTTTAAATTCTTTGATTTTGGCATTGCCAAATACCACATGACTGATGAATCTCTCTACAAAGGAATTGCTGATGACTTTTTAGATTTGGGAACTATGCTTCGAGTGCTGAGCCTTGGGATTGGAATAATGGATCCAAATCCAAAAAATCCTAGGGGTGTCGGATTGTTTACCAGTAATGGAGAAGGGTACATCTTTACAATCCCAAATGCAAAATTTATCGATTTTATTTTTATTTGTCTTCAACGCTGTGAAAAGCAGCCTAGAAGTGTCGAAGATCTGTTGAATCATCCATTCCTTACAGGTATGGAACTGGACCTGAACAATGATCAGTATGGAAAACGATACTATTCTGCTGAGAAACTGTTAGATAAATAAATCTAATAGAACTACCAAAGAGCACTCTTGATTCACTTTTACAATTTATGCGTAAATTTTAATGTGCTTATTTGATATGTTAAAGTAATATTACAAACATGCCTTTATTTGGGCAAGCATCCCTTTTCAGCACAGTATATTGCAGTCTATTTCGATAGCAAATGGCTATTTAATAATAGCTGGCATGATGGGTCAAGCAAAATTTTTCACTAATTTTACTTTTAAACTCCTTCTGAAAGTTTAAAAATACAAAAACTATTCTATGAAACACGGGCAGTATCTTGCTTGTACAATATTCATTGAGGCACGACCAAGCATTTTTTAGTACTCATGGCTACTATATCTAATATTAACTTGAAAACCATGCTGATAAACCTTATCAAGCTTATTTACTTGG